TGTGTTAAAAGTTGGACAATAGTGAACGTTGACTCCTGAATGAATGGGTTATCGATGAGGTGCAATGCACCAAACAGAGTATATGCCATTCAAATTACAACACATAGAGTGATCCTCTTTGGGGACCTAGGTAGTAAGATGTATACCATAAGCTCAATCTGCAAATTGCCCTCATCTAATGACTTTGTCATCATATTATCAGAGCTTTAGTACAATGTGAATAACCACTGGGTGAGGAGAGGGGCGGAGCCTTAATTCGACAACGGATAACTGAGGATTTGCACAGGCAGGATTCTTTAATTCATCATTAAGGAGATAACTCCTTCAGATTGGCATACTAGGGTGGTGATCCAAGACTGTACAGCAACCACCAAGAGAAGGATATCTTACTCACGAAGGAGGTTCTGACTGATTGCTGTACCCTGGATTGAGCTTTTCTATATCTGAGGCCATGAGTGGATTGTTTCCTGGGTCAAAGGTCAGTCTTTGCCTCAAGTGATGGAGTTTAAGTACCTAGGTGTTTTGTTTAGGAGTGATAGAAGGGGGGAGTGGGCTAGAGGGAGAAGGATATATGGACAGGGACCTTGCCTGCCATAATACAGACATTCTTCTAGTCTGTCATGGTGAAGAAAAGGCTGAGCCAAAAAGCAGAGTTCTCCATTTACTGGCCTGCCTGCAGTCCAAAAGAACAAGATCACATGTACACTGAAGAGCTTTGTCACCCCAGGTGAATTTAGAGTGGAGCCACTGATCCACACTGACCGTGAGCAGCCTAAAAACATGCTGGATAAACTATGGCTCTCTATTGTTGCCTTGACATTGGACAGGGAGAGTCACAGGGAAAATATCTGAGTTATTTCCTAAATGCCTTAACCTCATGACCTGAAGAGCAAGACTATCCCTAAGTGGATCTTATTAGTCCTGTACCATTTTACTATGTCTAAATACATAAAATCTAAATTGCTAAAATACCATGATTTAATAGAATACCAAATTGCAGTATTCATGTTCAAAGTAAGACATAGCCTAATGCCTGGGAATATACAAAATATGTTCTCTGAAAGGGAGGGAGGGTACGATTTAAGGGGAAGGGGAACTTTTAAGACCAATAGATGTAGAACAACAAGGAAAAGATTATGTTTATCAATTTGCGGAGTTAAATTGTGGAACAAACTAAATGAGAACCTAAAGCAATGCTCAAACATATTCCTTTTCAAAAAAAAATTACCAAGAAATTATATTCAAAAAGTATAGAGAAGAATTGTAGAAAGTTTTGTTTGTGTTTTTTGTTTTGTTTATTTGTATATATGTATGAAGGTATATGTGTATACATATTTATGTATGTATATGTGTAGGTAGGTATGTATTTATATGGATATATATAGCAACATAATTATAAATATTGTAAATTGAAGAAATACAAGAATTAAAGGGGTAGGAGCACATAAGTTTTACTTCTTTATACTCCTTTTCGCACATGTAACAGAGGTATATTAACTCAGGAAAGAAGGGTACCTTGTTTGTTGTTTTTCTCTCCAATGTTTAAACATTGTTTTATTGTTTTTTGTTTTTCTCTTGCATTTTCGAAATAAAGAATCCAATCCAATCAAATGTAAAACTGATTTAATGATCAGAAACAATAGCTGATTTAAGGTTTAATTACTGTACCAATTACGTTCTTAACTTCTCAAAGAACTTACCTGTGTCTGGTGTTTCTTTTGCATAAAAGTAGGCATTAATTATTTTCCATGTTTTATAAATTAATATGGGTATGATATGTATATACACATTTTATTTATATATCTGCTAGGATATGTGTTAAAGGGAAATACCTCTATGGGACCTCTCTAACGTATACCATCGCTGTAATACTCTATACCGTTTAGGAGTTACAAATCCCAGGATTCCAAAGGGTTGTTAACCTTTCCTAAACAGGGCTCCAGAGACGTCATTTGTCCTCGCCACGTCCTTCTTTTTAACACAACGTTCATCTCTGACATTTGACAGAACCCCGATCCCCGGGTTAACACAGGAAACACTAGATTTCCAAGCCTCACCCAGGGGACACAATGTTTTCAGGCTAAAAGGTAACAGATAAGCTTCTCCACACTTTAAATCTGCCAGACACTGACAGTAAGCAAGCAAAGTTTGGTTAGCTCATGTGTCACCATAGAGCCTGAACATTAGTCTGTGCCCTCTGGCTTTCAAGGGTTAAGAAATGTATGTGTTTCCCATATCCCTACTTGACCCAATGCTACCAAAGACATGTGGGAAAGAATTTATCCAAAATATTCTGCAGCTCTGTCCATACTGAGTATAAACACCAAGGACTGATTAAAGTACAGCATACAGTATCTGTTGAGAATATGTGAGAATATAGGTGTTTTTTTTTAATGTAGATGGAGGAGAAGTGAATGGTACTCACAGAACTCTGAGATGTTTAAGACCAGAGAAATCCATCTTGCTTATGATTGTCAGGTTGTTCTCATTCAGATCTCTGAAAAAAACAAAGCAAGAAAATCAGCCACGATATAATCTTTAAAAACGGCAAAATAGCAATAACTTTATTTTTGATATCTGTACACTTTAAAACAAAGCATAATTTAAACGTGTATTCTAAAAACTGACGACTGACTAGAAATAAAGGTTTTTTGTAGGGCTTTTTTTTCAAATAAGAGGGTCATGATTAAAAAAAGGTAGAAATCAGCATTGTTTGAATCAGCTACATTTCCTAGTCATTGGTATTACATCGGTATAAACAGGTCTGGTGTTAAGGATGGCTGTTAATTAGTGTTGAAACCAATACTGATACCAGTATAGGTCGCGGCAGCGAATACCATCAAATAGGGCACCGATACCATTTTGACAGCCAAAAGTTCATTCAACTATTGTCACCCATTTCAGGTAGGCAATAAGTCTACTGGATTCACTTTGTATTAGTCTTTTTCCTGCTTAACAAAGGTAGGCAGCAGCTTGACAAAGAAATGATGGCAGCTATTATGCAGTTCTTCATATATACACACACACATCAATTTCAAACAGATGGTACTGCACAGCCAGGTATCGGGTATCGGTAGCCTCGTGAGACCATCCTGATCTTGCGAGCTTTCAAGGTTTCACTCGCTGATCAGTCTGGCTACTTTCCGTTAAAGAAAATTTGGAGCCGTTCACCAAACGAACGTCCAATCAGTGCTGGCTTTGAGGCGGGTTGAGGTGTGACGCAACGAGAA